AGTGTAGTATTGTATTTATCGTGGTTATAGAGTCCATGGATTTGCCCCCGAGAACCAATTACGTCGTTCATGGTCTAAAACCTTCACGAGTGAGTATGTTATTGAACAGTAACGTTTTGCAGATGTTGTTTGTTGTCGTTCGTCGCTCGTCAACTGTGTTGTTTCTTGAATCCGGACTGTCATAATGCCAGTCTGTTTGTTTATTATAGAATCCATCAGTAAAAATTGTGCGGGTAGTCGTTCTTGAAGGTGTTGAATTGGCCAAGAAGGACATTTTTGGGCTGAGGTAGGACATAGCTTAACATTTTCGTCGATCCGGTTATTTGTCTGTATGCTTGTTCGGGCAAATTATTTGAATTTTTGCAACGCTAGTATCGCGTCTCACTTCAATGGAAATTTGATTGGATTGGATTCTCTGATTGACTTTGGCAGAAGTATTACGCTTTCCCACCATGTAACGGTTATAAGCTCTAAGTTTGAACGTAAAATCCAGACAGTTTAACGTGAGTTTGTGTTGAGCATGGTCACAGCAAATATTAAATAAAATTTACAATTGTATGTGTTAAAGACCTAATCTACATATAAGCTTACAAATGCTCGCGTGAATTGACTGAATTGACCACTTGAAATAAATTCTATATATGAGAACAAAATAACGAAAAGGCTTCTTAGTTTTTGAACCTAGAAATATACATGTATGGGAAGAATTATGCGCTCAATATTGTTATCATTGACATTTTCATTTCTGTATTGTATAACGCCATTCAGTGACATACTGTACTTATTGTTATCACATGGCAAACTGGTCAACAATGTAGAGAAGCATTTTGATTGGTTTCCTGACTGGTCCAGACTTTGCAATATGTACTGTTATTAGACATTACTTGTGATTTAACTAATTTGCAACTGTATGTCTCAAGCGACTAAAGGATGTTCACGCTCAATTGATTCTGTTAGTAAAGTAGCTTTATCAAGTTAATAGAGTTTTCTATAATCTATTATACTACATATGGAATGATTGTCCTTGATTTCTTCTAAATGAAGTTAGTAGAATTCTACTAGGATACTAATGCAAATGCTGCAATCTGATTGGCTGAGCTACTCGTATACTATTGGCCATTAGAATGCAGGGGCTGGAGGTCGTTGGCCTCATCAACTATAACCTCATAGAAATCTCAAGCTCATAATCTAATTGTTAATTATAACTATTTTAAAAACATTACTATTTTTTAAAGTAGTTGACCTTTGAGTCTGGAAATTTTTTCTGTGGAATGCCACTTCCTCTGTGCCTAAAATTGAATTATAGCTTGCAAAATTAATCACAAAACCACAAGATCACAGACTTGCAAAAAAGGGGAATCATAAGTGAGCATTCCACCTATGATATTGTAACTAGTAGGTAAGATTAATATTGTCCTCAAGTGAATTTTAGTAATTATAAGTACATGAGTCTGCATAGTTTATACTCAGTCTGGTAGTCTTTCCTCAGTGGCAAAATGATCTGTCATAAACTGTTGTAGACTATTTTCATAACTAAATGTTCATCATATTGACAATAAATTCCAGTTTCTATTCATGACAGTAAATTAATATTAATTTATTACTCACTTTAATTCAAGTATTTTTATGAATGTCACTTAAAATAATATTTAATTTTCATATGCACTGTAGTATCTCTGTACTTTTTCATCTTAAGACTTATTTGTTTTGATTTGTTATCTTTTGTTTAGTGATCCTTACTGTAAAATAAAACTGTTTAGGGGAGACAGGGAATATGGAGAAATAGATGCTGTTTGTACTGAAACTATAAAAAAGGTGAGGTTTTCTACTATCGCAAACTGTTGATACAAAATTACTGATGTCTGTTCATAAGTTACAGTACTGTGGACTCCTTTCTTGTAGAAACCACAATTGACATAACCACAAAAATGTTATGCATATTTTAAGTACATGTACACAAATGGTTAAGTCCAGGGCTACAAACTGACAGATGCACAGTCATCAAATGTGATGATTTAACACAGAGTAGGGCCACTAAAAGTTGAGGTTTGATTACTCAAAATCAAAATAAATCTTATATTGTGACTTACAAATTGAGATGGAAACTACAGTTACTCGAGTTTCACACATACATGTAAAGCGATCATCAGACTGTGCCCATAGCAACAGTTGAACAAAATTTAACCTGACTCGTGGAGGGCATGTGGAGCGATCCTGATTCTGATCAGCTGCATAGAACTTCTTCTCATGCCTGCATTTCGTTACAAGTTCAGATCTTTTGTTTAGAGGCGTACATGAATTATACAAAGAAGTATCGTAGGCATTTCTGTATTCTTTTCCTTAACTCTAGTTCATTGGCTTATTATTTTTTTTTGGTCTGAACTAGAAAATTCCACCTAGATTTAAACAGTTTAATGAGTCCTGCATTTGGCAAAATTTATTAGAGATTTTATAATTCCTCCTACAGTGTACATGAACAATAAACTCTCAGTTTTACAAACACCACACCACAGTCGCCAGTTTGTCTTAAAATGAGTGTTGTCTGTTTAAAATAATGGTGTTCATGTATTTCAACTCAGCTTCAGAATCATGTCATAAATAATTAATATATTCCACTTGAGCTTTGACCTCAACTGCCCATAATTAAAGCTCATTTTTATGTGCTGATGTCTATACAAAACAAAGAACACATTAAGTGGGGCTCCCAGAGGGGTATATAATTCATGAAGGGTATACTGGGGTCTGCAGGGATTTACAGGGGTATACAAGTGTTTGCAGCTCCTGGGTATACAAGGGTTTACAGGAGTTTACAGGAGTTTACAGGGGCTCACAGGGGTTATTATACCAGTCAGAGTATTCATGGGTAAGATAGGCATTATAAATGGGATAGTTGGGTAACTGTATTGTGGCCTACCATGAACAGGGCTTCTGATATTTCATGTGGCTGCAGAGCCGCAAATTTCAAGGAAATCTGCAAAATCCCGTGAAATCCACAAAAACATGTGAAATACCACAAAATTCACTGGAAATCGTACCAAATACATGTCGGTACAACACATTTGAAACTTATCATGGCTGTTGGGGCTGTTGACTTGTCGTAAACTTGCAAATTTAGCGTGAAACTTTGTCACTGCAACAAGTAAACAACATCCAAAAACTACCAGGTGTTCTTAGATTAATGTTGCAAAAAACTGGGCCCTCACTGTGGCCATGATGTAAAAAGCTTTGCCATTGGCGCATTTCTTCAGCGCATTGTTTAAAGAACAAATGGTGATCTCTGTTAAAAAGAACCTTGTGGTCAAGCAAATACAAACACGTATGATAGTCCAAACGACTTGCTCAAATTTCCCTGCAAAATAGCTGGTTTTACAAAGGCAACACTTATAAGTAGTCGGTGTTTCTGTTGCTGTTGTTATTGCATAGGCTAACACTCATATGTTTCCGAAATAAAAATAATGGCAAAATTGGCATCTTTTCTTTAGTAAATAAGGTTCATCAAATCAGTGCAAAAGAAATCGCTTTCCAGCGAAATTTGCCCAAAAAATTCTCACAAAATCAGCTCTTTTTTACCGATCATTTGTCAGCGAAATTTAGGCCAAACATTTCTGTGAATTTCCTGCTAAATCGGCCATTTTTTCCACAAATTTGTCTCTTAAAATCCTGTGAAATTTGACTTTTTCTCTGTGACCAATCAGAAGCCCTCCATGAATTATGTGCTTACAGAGGCTGGTCATAAAAAGATTCATTGGTGACTGAATTTGAATGTTTTGAATTGTAAATGAGAAAAATTCATAATTAATAGCCCCCATTTGACGCAAAAATATGCGTGAAGATTTGTCCAGGGACATCTGTTTCAGGAAGTGAACAAGTTTCCAAGAACAAAGCTTGAGGAAAACTGTGAGCTTCAAGAAACAGAATGATAATTTCCATGGACAAATGTCTGGGCATTTTTTTAAAGTTGAACAGGGACTGTTGTGTTTGTTATCCTTCTAATATCAATCAGTCAGTCAGATATGATATTCCAATATTCAGTCATGTGACATGTTAATAGACCAATAGCAAACAAGCAAAAATATTTTATGCTTTCTAGTTAATGTTATTCCTGTTTTGAAGAGAAAAGATTGCACACGGTAATGTTATTGGGCTTTATTCCTACCTTCACAAACTTCTGTGTAATGAATATTAATTAAATATACATTAATTACTTAAATTTACTTTTATCTTATGTACATTATTTTCTTTTCCTAAAGAGTTTGCATCCAGTCTGGAACCAAGAATTTCTCTTTCGGGTAAGGACATTTTTAGGAAATAGCAAATGTTCCCTTGGCTTGACTAGTTAATTGTTGAATTAATTTCAAACCATAAACAAAGACAAACCACAGTCTTCACAGTGAACATTGGACAATGATGTATTAGCAATAACAATTTATTACTAACCACTACTACTTTTAGTACATGTATTTTTGGTCTTTACTATAATGATTATATGATTGATTTTAGTGAGTACATGTACTCACTGCAAACTGGTCTGAGGACATTGTTGAGTTATAAGTATATGTTAATAATAGTAATAATA